CAACCTCCCCATTGGCCCTGCCCTGAGTGTGTCAGGGGGGAGTGCCCCACCCCCCTGATGGGCCCTGCTCTGTGCGTGACATGGGGTGGCGCCACAACCTCCCCATCGACCCTGCCTTGAGTGTGACGGGGGAGGTGCCCCAACCCCCCAATCAGCTCTACCCTAAGCATGACTGAGGGTGGCATCGGAACCTCCCGATCCACCCTGCTCTGTGCATGAGAGGGGGCCGCACCCCAACTCCCCAATTGGCCCTGCTTTGAACCCGACCAGGGGCTGCACCTAGGGATTGGGCCTGCCCTCTGCCACCTGGGAGCAGGCCTAAGCCAGCAGGGTATTATCTCCCGAGGGGTCCCAGACTTCGAGAGGGCACAGGCCAGGCTGAGGGACCCCCCTCCTCCCCCAGTGCACAAATTTTTGTGCACCGGGCCTCTACTCCTATCTAATAAAAGCCAAAAGGGTAATTAACCGTACCTCTGCTATGCTACGCATTGGCTAATCAGGGCAATATGCCAATTAACCGCAACAAAATGGTGGTTAATTTGCATATGCAGGCTCCAAGCAGTGGAGGAAGCCAAACAGCCTCGAACCTGCTGAGCAGCGAGGCCTCACCAGGCTGGGATCAGCTGAGCAGTGAGGCCTCAATGCCCGGTATCAGGCAGAGCCGTGATGCCTCACGCCCTGGGATCAGTGGAACCCCAAGGCCTCCCAGCACTGGTGTCAAGCAGAGATGCGAAGCATCCCGTCCTGGGATCAGTGGCGCCTCGAGGCCTCCTAGGCCCAGGACCAGCAGAGCCGCGAGGCCTCCCAGCACCTGGATCAGCAGAGCCGCGAGGGCTCATGGCCCAGGCATCAAGCAGAACTGCGAGGCCTCACACCCTGAAATCAGCGGAGCCGCGAGGCCTCCCAGCCCCTGGAGCAGCGTCACAGGTGGCCGCCCGGCTCTGTGCCTGACAGGGGCCAGGGCCCCAAACCTGTGATCCAGCCTGGACTGTGGGTGACACGGGACTGCACCACAACCCCCTGATCGGCCCTGCTCTCTGCATGTCAAGAGGCAGCACCCCAATTCCCAGAAGGCCCTGCTCTGTGTGTGAGAGAGGGGAGCTCCCTAACCCCCTGATCGGTCCTGCCCTGAGCATGACAGGGGGCTGCGCCCCAACACCCAGATCGGCCCTGCTCTGTGTGTGACAGGGGGCGGAGCTCCAACCCCAGATCGTCTGGCTCTGTGCATGACAGGGCACAGCGCCCCAACCCTCCGATTGGCCCTGCTCTGTTAGTGACAGGAGGCGGCACCCCAACCACTTCACCCCATTGGCAGTGCTCTGTGCATGACAGGGGGTGGTGAGGCAACCTCCCCATCGACCCTGAATTGAGTGTGTCAAGGGGCGGTGTCACAACCCCCCAATCGGCCCTACCCTGAGCATGACTGCGGGTGGCATCGCAACCTCCCGATCCGCCCTGCTCTGTGCAGGACAGGGGGTGATGCCCCAACTCCCCAATCGGCCCTGCTCTGAGCCTGACCAGGGGCTGCACCTAGGGATTGGGCCTGCCCTCTGCCACCCGGGACCGGGCCTAAGCCAGCAGGTCGTTATATCCTGAGGGGTCCCAGACTGCGAGAGGGCACAGGCCGGGCTGAAGGACCCCTCCTCCACCCCAGTGCACAAATTTTTGTGCACCGCGCCTCTAGTCTTAACTAATAAATGACAAAAAGGGTAATTTACCGTACCTCCACTATGCTTCCCTTCGGCTAATCAGGGCAATATGCAAATTAACCACCAACAAAATGGCGGTTAATTTGCATATGCAGGCTCCAAGCGGTGGAGCGAAGCCAAACAGCCTCAAGGCTGCTGAGCAGCGAGGCCTCACCGCCCCGGGATCAGCAGAGCCACGAGGCCTCCTGGCCCCGGTGACAAGCGGAGTTGCGAGGCTTCCCTTCCTGGGATCAGCGGAGCCATGAGGCCTCCCGGCCCTGGGATCAGCCAGGATCAGGGGAGCCACGAGGCCTCCTATGCCCGGGAGGCCTCCCAGCACCGGGATCAGCAGAGCCGAGAGGCCTCCTGGTCCCAGGATCAGGGGAGCCACGAGGCCTCCTATGCCCGGGAGGCCTCCCAGCACCGGGATCAGCAGAGCCGAGAGGCCTCCTGGTCCCAGGATCAGGGGAGCCACGAGGCCTCCTATGCCCGGGAGGCCTCCCAGCACCGGGATCAGCAGAGCCGAGAGGCCTCCCGGTCCCGGGATCAGGGGTGCCACGAGGCCTCATGGCCCCGACATCAAGCAGAGCTGCGAAGCCTCATGCCCTGGGATCAGCGGAGCTTTGAGGTCTCACAGGCCCTGGAGCAGCATGACAGGGGGCAGCCCGGCTCTGCGCCTGACAGGGGGCAGGGCCCCAACCCTGTGATCCACCCTGGTCTGTGGGTGACAGGGGGTGGCTCCCAAACCCCCTGATCGGCCCTGCTCTGTGCATGTCAAGGGCAGCAGCCCAACTCCCGGATGGGCCCTGCTCTGAGAGTGACAGGGTGCGGTGGCCCAACCCCCCAATGGGCCCTGCTCTGTGTGTGACAGAGGGGAGCTC